CTGCTTGGTTCGCTCACCTTGGGCCATCTTATTCCTATATTCTGTGGTGCTTTTTTGGCCTGGGTGATTAAACACTGTCTCATCTCTGGAACCAAGTGACCTCCTCAGTTTGTGAAATAATGATAGAGTGGGAGCAAAATATAAGGAGTAATTCTCCACCATTTTCTGCACCTAAACCAATCACTTAGCTATCAGAGTATGTACAACATACTCTGGGCTTGCTGCATGGTCTGTTCACTTGCTTAGAACATGGAAGCCTGTCTAGTCTTTTCCAAGGATGGAGGGAGGAGCTGGCCAGGGACTCTGGGGCGGAAGTCCATCCATTCCTCTCTTACAAACAGGAACCTCTCCTCAACTGCCTTTATCCTCCAAAGGGGCAGATGACTCATGAAATATGAGACCCTTCAACTCCTCTCTCCCTTCATCTTTAGCTTTTCTCCTGATAGCCACCAACTTGGTTCCTAGAAAGTTCCCTAGAACTTCTTCATCCACCATAATCATCAGAGTTCCCTGGAGAAGCAGAACTAGAATCCAGGTAGTTAGGTGGAGAAAGGGAGGGGAGAGGGAGAGAAAGGGTGGGAGAGAGAGGGAAGAGAGGAACATAAGAAATTAAATTGGCATCCATAGTGGCTGCCTGCATGCTAGGGAGCCAAGAACCTGGTAGCTGCTCAGTCTAAGAGGCTGGAAGCCTCCCAAGAAGGGAGCCAGGGATCCAGGTCGAGTCTGAGGCTGAAGGCCTGGAAACCAGGCCTGGAGCGTTGCTGTTGTGAGTCCTTGTTGAAAGGCCAAAGATGCTGGAGTCTGACGTCCATGCCCCATGGCGGCAGCAGACGTACTTGCTCAGGAAAAGCGAAACTTGCGTGTACAGAATGCTTTCCCCTTCTAGTTGTTTTTTTATTTTACCAGCTTGAACTTGGGGCCTAGGCACCATCCTGAGCTATTTCATTGACCTATTTCATTATGTCAATGCTACTGTTCTGCAACTTGAGCCACAGCTCCACTTCCAGCTTGTTTGGTGGTTCATTGGAGATGAGAGTCTCACGGACTTCCTGCCCAGGCTGGCTTTGAACCGCGATCGTCAGATCTCAGCCTCCTGAGCAGCTGGGATGACAGGCGTGAGCCCCCTGTGCCCCAGCATGTTGGGTGGTGCTGTCCGCACTCAGCAGGCATTTCCCCCTTAGTTACTGTCCACATAGAATCCTTTCTGTCTCTTTATGTCTGACACTAATTCCTCTTGGTCTCTTCCTTGGTTTGTTTGACCCCAGACCTATTCTCTACGCAGAACAGCAATGCTACCATGTTTTCCTGGGGAGCACCGGCCTGGATCTTGTCTGTTTGAAATAGGCTTCAGTGCAGTGGACATTCTAGAAGACCAGGCTGGGCCAAACGGATCATGACCTTATGAAGCTATTTCATGAGCGCTGGAGAGGAATGAGAATGAGAGGACTTGGGGAGAGGTAAAAAGGCTGAGGACAGTCAAGGACGACTCGACAGTCTCCTTCCAGCTAGAAGGGCTGAGAACCCGGGAGCTGAAGGGCAAACTGCCCGAGCCCTTCTGGTCGGGGTGACCCAGGCCACCCCGAGGGGCTGCAGAAATCAGGTCAGGGGATGGGGAAGGAGCGGGGTCACAGAGCAATGTAGCTGGAGGGGCTGTTTCAATTCATCACCATCTACGTGACCTACTTTAGGACATCAGTCTGGTGGCATTTGCTGCCAGAGAGAGAAATGTAACACATTAACACAAACTGAGGGAGGAGAGCTGAGCTATTTGGGACAGGAGACAGATAAAGAAATAGCAAGCTCTCCCTATGGATTTTAGCCGATTTCTTTTTCCACTTCTTTATTTGAGCGGTGCCCTAATTCTGTCTCGTTGCGAGTCAGCTAGGGTGTTTGAGCACAGGATGACAAAGACTCCGCTCTAATTTCGGCAACTCCATCTGGGACGGAGAGCTAAGGGCAGGTCGTGGCCTCTGGTCTTCAAAGAGGAACCAGCGACACCCTGGCTGACCGTTCAGAGCACAGAATGGAGGCCTTCTAAGAACGCTGGCGCTATTCCCACAGACAGCGTCCTCCCTTAGTGCAGGGCATCGGAGCATCCCCACGGAATTATGAGCCTCCGTCACCCTCTGGGTTGAAAGTCCTGAAACCAGGTAACAAGGACACGCATGCAGATTGGGGCCAATAAACATATAAAGAAATGAATGGCTTGTCATCCTCATGTCATGTCCTGGTGGATGCTCAGGAGATGAGCAGGAAGAGGTAAACTTCCAAAGGCCATTGTAACCAACCACCCTAAGTGGGGGTAGGGTGGGGAGGGGTGGGAAGGGGTGGTTCGTTTCCAATAATGCGCATTTGGTCTCTCACAGTTTATAGATACGAGGGGTGGAAGCAGATGTCACCAGAGCCATGCTCTTTCTGAAAACTCCAAGGGAAGGGTCCTTCCTTGCCTTGCTATACACTTGAGTCAGAATTCCAGATGTTCCAGCAGTCCTCGGTGATGCTTGGCTTGTAACTGCACCACTCTAATCTCTACCTGGACCCTTGCAGGACCTTCTTTCTGTGTGACCCTGACTTACGCATTTGTGTGTGTGTGTGTGTGTGTGTGTGTGTGTGTGTGTAACCTCATCTCATTCTTGCCAGCACCAGGGACTAGGATTTGGTTGTATTATTTTGTGGCTGCACAGTTTTACCCAGAGTAATCAAATTACTTCATTAAGAGAGAATTGTAAAAGCAGGCAGATGGGTGGAAAAAAAATCTGTGCACATCGTGTCAGAGTAACAAAGATTAGGATACCAGTGGATTTTTCATTAGAAGCCATGCCAGCCAAAAGGGAAAGAAACAAGAATGGAATCAAAAATTTTAATTACTGAAAGGAAAAAGTGGTCAACTTAGAAGGCCATGTTCAGCAAAAACCTGTTTGATAAACAAAGGCGGAATGAAGATTTCTAAGACAAACAGAACATGGCGGGGGGAGCCCAGCAGAGGATGGAAGGACACCAGACATTTTAAATGAAAAATTGTTTTTCTTATTATTTATTTTAATCACATAATTGGCTACTCGCAGCAAAATAGTAATGCACAACAAAGAAGTATAGCCTATAAGCCAACAAAGGAGACAGAATAGAATCCTGTGCTCCTGAAAGAAGGGAGAAAAATAGTAAAAGGCGAACAAAGAACAAATACCAAAATAGCCACATGAAAGACAGAAGTCGAACTGAACAAAACTGTCACAGGGGAGATGGAAGTTAAACTACAAAAGTCATCTCATAAATGTAAGTGGTCTCCACAACCCAGATAAAGGCAAGGAGCTGTCGGATTGGACAGAAAAGCCTGGAACATGATATGGTATGCACAAACTCACTTTAAATATGGATACAAATTAACAAGTTGTGAAAAGATGAACAACTGTGTATCATGTGAAAACTAATCTCAAGAAAGCTGCAGTGATGATATAAATATAAGACAGAAGATTTTAGAACAAAGTATATTATAAAGGATACAGAGGGTCATATAATAAAGGGTCAATTCCTCAAAGAATTATGCATATCTTAACTGTTTATCTACCTGGTGGCAGAATTTCCAAGTATATGAAACAAGAACTACTAAAACCATATGAGAAACAGACAAGTCGACAATTGTAGTTGGAGATTTTACCTTTCTCTTTTTTCTTTTAGTAGAACTGGGTTTGAACTCCAGGACTCATGTTTGCTAAGAAGGTTCTCTACCACTGAGCCATGCCTCCAACCCTGCTTTTTGCTGGTGCTTTTAAAGATGGGACCTTACTTCCTATCACACGTGTACCTGAACCACAATTCACCTACTTAAGGTTTTCCTCTGTGTCTGAGATGACAGGTGCACGCCACTGCCTCCAGCTTCCCTCTGTGGAGATGAAGTCTCTCAAACTGTTGCTCAGGCTGGCTTCAAACCACGATCCTCTGGATCTCAGTCTCTCAATAGTTTTGGCTGACTGGCACGTACCACTGGGACCAGCTCAAAGCTGACAAGGGTCTCGTGAGCATTTCTGCCTGGGCTGTCCTGGGATGGTGATCCTTCCAATTGCTGCCTCCCGCGTGGCTAGGATGACAGGCGCATGCAGACGCACCCAACTAGGGTTAAAGGCATCTCAAACTCCTCTACCTGCACTAGGCTCAAACCATGATCTTCCATTCTGCTACTGGTGTGCATCCCTGGTGTCTGGCTCAACACGTCTTTCTTAATCAGTGAGTCAGGAGAGAGAATGTTAGGAAGATAATGAAGGTGTACATAACACCATTCACCAACTTGGCTTGATTGGCACCCAGAAAACACACTGCCAACAAAAGCAAAATATACATGAAATACACCAAACACTTACACAGCAGATGACCTTCTGGTCCATGAACGCAGTGCTGGCAGCTTTGCCTTCCCCAGCGGAGGTCTGGCTGACAGCTGGTGGCGGCTCTGTCCCCTGCGCATGTCCTCAGCCGCCGGCCACCTTGGCCACGTTGTCCTCCACTCCCAAGTTCACCGCGGTGTGGATGCCTTCCCTGGCCTAGGCCGGCCGAGATGGCCCCTAGGCCGGCCGAGACGGCCCCGCACGCGGGCTCGGCCCCCGGCCCCTCCCCTCACCCCGCTCAGCCTTCCGAGGGCCAGCAGGACATGGAGCCGGCTTGTTTATCCGTTTGTTTACGTTTATGGCTCCAACTCTTGGTCTTGAGTAGAAGGTTCTACAGGGCAGAGACGAAGGTGTTCATTGTAAGAGCAATTGTCCCTCCAATCATCCAGTGACAAGGGCCTGGAACGCACCTGTCAGCCCTGACCTTAAGCGCAGGTAAACCGCGTAGGTTTCCCATAATATTCCATCTTTGTATTTCCCTTGGGGGGGAGGCATGACAAGCCCCGCCCCTCAGAGCGCATCCCGTCCTCTGCCGTGCACAGGAGCATCCTTCCCACACCGCAGAACAGACTCCGAGCCGCTGGAATGCTATAACCGCAGATCTTTATTATCATTGTTATTAACAGAACAAGCATTTCTCATAGCTGTAAGCAAAGCACTGAATTCATTGCGGTAACCTGCATCTTTTCTCTGCACAAAGAGGGCTGGGAAGGGCCAGAGTGACCCTTTTCCTATCATTTCTTTGGGTGATTAATCAAAACTGTGAACATTCGCAGATTGTAAGGCACTGGGGGGCGGGAGGGGGGGAGGGAGCGAGGATGCCAGCGCCGTGGCACCGGCCGCTGTCCCCAGCGCCTCCCTCGGCATCTGTGACCAGAAACACGGTCTCAAGCTATTCATCATCTCCAGCTAGACCCCAAGTGATCCAGAAAATTCCATGCTCCGCCCCAACCCCTACTAGAAGACAAATTACATTGGGTCAGCTGGCTGCTGTACTTCCCTTGAATCAAACCTCCGTGCAAACTGGATTTGTATGATTGTCTCTGTGATACGTGAACTCCAAAAGCCCCCGAGGTGAACCCCGGAAGCCTTGGCCCCACTGGGCGGCGGCGTTTTTGCTGCCGCCCCAGGGTCCACCTCGCGACATGTGGCAGTTACTGTCTGATGCCCAGTGGGCAGGAGAGGCCGGTGCCGCCCAGGCCGCAGTAGCCGCGGGGGTTCTTGCTCAGGTACTGCTGATGGTAGTCCTCGGCGTAGTAGAACGCCTGCCCCGCGCGGATGTCGGTGGTGATGGGCCCGAAGCCGTGCTCCGAGAGAACCTGCGGGGACACAAGGAGGGACCATGCTGACCTGCGGCTCCGGGGGGACAGGCGACAGGTGCGCGCCAAGCGGGGGACGGCGGCTTGCAGGGCGCACTGTCTCCCTTGGGCGTCCTCATCTCCACCGCGGCGGTGGGCTGGGGTTGGAACGGATGGGTTTTAACTCTGCACTTCATTCGCAGCTCCTGGTGCCGTGCTGCTGCTGCTGGTGTGGCCCCGGCCTGAGCCCTGGGGTGTGCGTGCCCAGGCTCTGCAGGGAAGGGCAGGTCTGGGCACTGCTGGAGCAGGGGAGACGGGCAGGGAGCTGCGGGCCTTCCCTCTCCCCCAGCCCTCAGGTGACACCTCCTGTGGCTTTGGGGAGCAGGCCCTGCTCCTCTACCCGAGAGCTGGAGTCTGTGCCCTGAGCACCCGGCCCAGGGCCTGTCAGGCCAGGGCTTCTCTCCCCAGCTGTGACCCGGTAGAAGTCTGGTGGCATCTGCTGCCAGGGGAGGAAGTTGGTCGTGGGCACGTGGGGGAGAGGAGTGGGGACATGTGGGGCGGGAGATGGAGTAGGAACTAGACCTGCTCCCCTGGGATCTGGCCTTTTCTTGTCCCTGTGGGGTGTCTGCCGTGCCCCCATTCTTTCTCCCTGCAGACTGCGAGGGCATTGGAACATAGGTGACAGAGATGCAGCCCTGCCATTGGCTGCGCCGGGCGCAGGGCTGGGGAGCTGGGAGCTGTGCTTCCAGGCGGGAGCTGCCACGCTAGGCCGGGGCCTCAGGGCGGACGCGCTCCTGTCCACAGGCAGCGAAGCCAGCGAAGCCAGCGCCCAGACTCAGCTTGAACCAGTGCGTGGGGCTTCTCCTTTGCCCTCTCTCTCTGCTCAGCCCTCTGAGCCACAATGAGGCGGACTCAGGATCTTCAAGCCAAGTATGGGGGGGGGGGTGAGGAGCGACCCTCACCAAGGAAGCTCAGCAGACTGCTCGCAAGGATTAGAGATAAGAACTTAGGGCCACTCCTGCATGCGTTCTGGCTTTTGTTTGGTAAGCTAGTAATTATCCAGGGCTTGGCACGTGCCGCTCTGTGCGAAGACTCCGTGCATGTTAATTTCAGCTTGCAGGAGCCTCAGGAAGGAAGTCCTACTCTTATCTCCATATTTAGAGGTGAATGTCAGCTTGCGTCCTCTGCTGGCCTGGGGACCGCAGAGGTGGTGAGGGACGCCGCCAAGCCTCCCGCCCGCCTCCCCCACCAGCGAGACCCACCCACAGGGACCAGGGAGTGGCGGGCACGGGCGGGCGGGAGGGGCGCACGCTCCTCCGGACAGTCACTGGCGTCTAGCCTGCAGGTGATGAAAAGCTCGTGCGGCCAGTTCCGGTGGTTTGTGTAAGTTCTCCGTCTACTGCAGCCTCAGGTGCACTTTCCCCAACCCTCTTAATGATCCCGGGAACATGGAAATCTCTGTAAAATGCATCTTGCCTGAAATCCTTCCAGCACTTTCTGTTTCCAGGACGGAACCTGGCATGGGACTGGAATTGTGTTCAGAAACAGAGCCTGCATGTGGATAAGTATCTGGGAGTCTCTGCCAGGCCCAGAGGAGACTCCTCACGGAGAGGGGTGGTCCAGGGTCCTCCCCGCCCCACCGTGGCCTGGCAGGTGTGCCCACCGAGGGACGCAGGGCGGCACGGGGCAGCCGAGGGTGGGCAGCGTAGGCCGCGGTGCGCTAGCCGCTTCTAACAAGGAAGGCCAGGTTCAGGACTTGATGTGTGCAGCTCAAAGCAGGTTGAAGGTGCGGCGAGGCTCCGTGGCTGATTTAAGACCATCTCTGCGGTTCTGGAGCTCATGCCAACACCCGTGCCAGGCTTGACCCCGGGGCCGCAGGTTCAGCATGTGAGTGAACCAACCCAGCCTTTCCAATGTCCACAGCCAAAACCAAAGCACGCCTCCCTTCACCCGTGGAGACAGTGTGCTGGCGCCCACTGATGCGGGCCCGGCTGAGGGGCGCCGCCTCCTGCTCCCGTGGCCACCTGAGCCCCCTCCTGTCCGTGAGGTCCCCCATGCTCTGAGGGGGGACTCCTTTGACCTCCACACTCTGGGACTGTATGGGGGGGGCACGGAAGCCCTGCCTCCTCCTCAGTCTCCTCCCCTCGCCCGATAGGGTCCTTCCACGCTCAGCCAGGTCTTCGCTCCCCCAGAGCGCGGGCAGTCTCTGGTCCTCATGTGCTGCCCACCTTCCTCCCTCTTCTGCTTCACAAACGGCTGCCCCTGTGCCATGAGAATGGCCATCCTGCGCTTGGGAAGCCTTCAGAAGCATCTCTAGGCAAGGTTAGAGGTCCCCCCAGTTTCTTGCCCTCACAACCAGACACTCCCCCCTCTCCCGCCCCCCCCTCCCCCCCCCCTCCCCTCGCAAGACAGAGTATCCCTGGGGCAGGAAGGTGGCTGGACTGGGACATGGGCAATACCAGGCTCTGCCACACGGTGGCAGGCACTTCATTCCTAGAACTGCCAGGAATTGAGGGAGCCACAAGAGACAGCAGGCATCCAGCAGAGCCATCCCTTGGGATGGGGACAGGAAACGAGCAGGGTGGCGGCTCAGGTCGGCTGGGGTCGGCCAGGACCCAGGCTTCCTTGCAGGTCAAAGGCCTAGACCCAACTCCACCCAGGCAGCCCCAGAGCTGAGCACACAGGCTCATGCGACGGCCAGCCCAGTTCCACTCACGGCCAGCGTGCCCAACCTGCTCTGGTTTTCCCATTTCCTACTCCTCAACTGCCTCGAGGGGCGGTGGTCTAAATAGCAGCTAACTTAACTCCTGGTGGAGTGGCCCCTGGTCCAGGAAACTTCTGGAAGGTTGCCTAATAGAAGCAATCAGTGCTCCTTTCTCACAAATGCATTTCTCACCCTTTCCTGACTGACTGGCTTCTTCCTTCAGAGAAGGTTTGCTATTCAAAATATCCCAAACAGCTCTAGATGTAGATCCTCCTGGATCTGAATCCAACTCTCTCACCTTGTGCAAATCCCTGGACCTCAGTTCACACAGTCCATATTTAGGCCTTCTCGTTAGCTCTTAATACTTCAAAAGACCGGTATTAAATTCACCAGGCATAGGTGGCTCACACTTTCAGGCCTAGCCTCTTGGGCGGCGGCGGTCGGGAGGCCTGCAGGGCTAAACGGGAAACGCTGCGAGACTCCTTGTCAACAGAAAGGTGGCTTTGGGGTGCACACTTGTGATCCTAGGTACTCTAAAATAACCAGAGGAAGGCCGACCTGGAGCTGAAGTCCAGTGTGAAGGTATACACGCACCTGCTCCCCGTGAGACTTACAATCAAACTGTGTATGCATGATTTCATATGCATTCCCGAGATGCGCCTGCCACCACTGCCCGACTTTAGAACCACTCCATTAGACAGAAACTTGCCCCCATTCACCCCCATTCCTCCCAGCCCCCCGGGGACCCTGTTCTACTTTCAATCCATACGATACGGGCCACTCTAGGGCCCTCATCTCTATGATCAAGAGATACCTGGACACTTTCGGGACTGCCTCTACCTGCAGCCTCCTGCTAAGATTCAGAGTCCTCTAAGAACCGTGAGAGGAACGCATGGTGCGTCCTCCACGCCTGCCTTCCCAGCCCGCCTCGGCTGCCGCCAGGACACTGACCCCTGTGATAGAGATGGAGCTCTTGTCTGAGGTGCCCACCGGCAGGAGCGCCGGCTGCCTGCCTCCTCTCCCTCACTGAGTTCCACAATCTCCCTCCTCCCCAATGCCAGCAGGCATCATGGTGTGTCCCTGATACGCAGTCATGTGACCTGATTCCTGCTGCCGGAAACAAGCCGGAGTGTTGGGAAGGCAGAGCTGGCATCTGCAGTACGGGGCTCAGCGCCATTTTCTCCTGCTGCCAGGGGAGGGGTCCGCAGGGCCCAGGTGGCAGAGCGGGTGCAGCCTGGCTTTTCTCTCCGTGTCTCCTTTCACCAGCCTAGCAGTCCTGCAGGGCGCCAGCCCCGAGCTGACATGATCCACGTGGACACACAAAGCAGCTCGGAATCTCACTCAGGTTCACGTGTTGGGGGCTTCATGGTGGGTTGGGGCCAAGGACCCAGGTTTGCCCGGGCTGGACTCCAGGATGCGCCCCCCCCATACAGGTGACCCCCACGTGTGGTCCCGGGGAGGTAAGCCCTTAGGAAGCTGAGCACGGCTCGGGGAACAGATCCCATAAGGACCTCCCGTGAGCGCTCTACAGGCCGGGGTGGGAGCGGAAGGGGGCTTGGCTCTGGCGACAGACCCGCACAGGTGTGCCCACGCGTAAGACAGGAGAGACAGACATGCGTGTGCTGCATGTATGTGCACAGAAGGCCTGGAAGGATGCTGCATTCTTGTTAGTCTTGAGTCAGGATTTTACTATATAGCCGAGGCTGGTTTCGAACTTGCAGTCCTCCTACTTTAGCCTCCCAAGTGCTAGGATTACGGCCATACACACACCAACCTCACCTTAGATGGCTCAGCAGGAACCTCTCGCTTTTTAGGAAATGTGTCAGTGGGAAGAAGACGGGGCGCACGGTGGTGGTTTTCCACATCTTGCCGGGAGGCCAGGGATGCGCTGCCAGTCCCGTCAGCGCTGCGGCTGCCCTTCCCATGGAAACACAGCCAAATATTTTCTCCTGGTTTCTCGGGCCCTCTGGAGGCCCATTGTGTCCTCCAGATCGGGCCATCGAGTCCGGAGCCATTTGGGCGGCTGCCCACCCCACAGCAGCCACCAGTCCCAGGCCGGGGAGGTGTGCAGCATATCCCCATTCTAGATGAGTGTTTTGAAGACAAATTACCCTCATCATTATCACAGTGGGAAAGTCCTTGAGGTAAGGAGAAATGGCCGCGCTAGCCACAGGGAGGAAACCTACAGTGCAAACTTCAACAGCCTCCTGTTTTTGAAAGTCTTGTGAAGCTCATCTAAGCAAACCCTTTCTCCTCTACCCACCAAGAGAACTGGGGCTTATGTGTTGGGGTTTTGGGGGTTCACTGGTTTTTTTGG